CTCAATCGGTCTCACGTAAAGACTGCCAAGCAAAGTGGCTTGAGCGATGGACGGATATTGAACTTCTGTAGTTTGCGGAGGCTCAATGTCTAATGATGCAGTTGAGAGGTCCGATGATATCGAAGTTACCCCAGTTGATGAGGTTTTACCGCTGGAGAAGTTGAGAATCGGACTCCTCATTCTTCTGCTACTCAAAACGTGATGCTGTTCCAACTGGGATCTAGGCGTGCTTTCACTTTCCCCAGTTATGGTTTGGAATCTGGCTACACCACCAGGAAGTGAAGAGCTTGGACTCTCGAGGCTTTCATGAGGAAAGGAACCTGCACACAACGGAAGCGGGGGCAATGAGAAGAGATGGGGTCCCGTGGGTGGAGCAGGTGGCGTTGAGGATAAGCGAATGGACCCTGTTTGTGGTGGAATCGTTGGGGATAAAGTTGCCGCAGTAACGGGGCACTGGGAGGAAATAGGACCTGCAAAAGTCTCGCGAAGCAAATGGTGACCCGAGGGTGGATAATAGACCGAGGAGTCGGGTCTCAGTATAGAGCAGTCACTTGGGCAACCGGATGCATTGGTGATCTCCTCCACTGGATGGTATATACGTCGATTTATCGGCAAATGAGTCATGTAAGCTGATGATTGTAATGGCACCGGAGGTAGTAGTACAGACTTGATTTGTTCAGCTGGTTGCAGAATCTGTGGCTGTACTTGTGGCTGGTAGCTGCGGCTGGTCGACGAGATGACGAGTTTTTCGTCCATCTGCAGATCGAGTGCTCCTGTCAGACTGCCTCCTCTGCCGGAGCCCCATTCTGAGCCGGAACTAGGCCCTCGGCCCGAGTCCCTGTCCTCAGCTTCCGAGCCAAGCGAGCCACCTGAGCTGAAGGCCATTTGAGCCGGAAGACTGGTCGCTGTCCCCACTGGAAGTGCTGAGCCCGGCGTTCGGCCGGAGACTGTCGGCGCCAAGGTGAGAGGGTTTTGGATTAGGCTGGAGAGCCCACCGAGCAACGAAGCCTCAAGGACTCCGGATATATTCGACGGAGTGCCGAGGTTGTCTTGGTCGGTCTGAGCGCATTCTGTCACCTGGGCAACATTGGAAGTGCTCGGGTGTGAAGTGAGGCCGGCGGAAGTGGGGGCTCCAAGTTCTGGTGAAGAAGGCGAAGTCCTTACGTTTGTTGAGCAGACGAGGTTTCTGCAGAAAATCTTTCCAGAATTTTGCTCGGACTTCACCTCGTCCCCGGCATCACCAGATCCTCCGGGGACTGGGACCATCTGCAGCATGGACGGCGGCATATGTACCCCCGAAAGACAGAGAGGAGCCGGTTCCTGTACTGCGGCGAGTGAGTGTTTTGTGCTGTTGAAGGCACTGGACGACGGATCAGAGAACTCTGAGCCCGCCTGACTGGTCGCCTGTTTCTCGCTGCTTGTGTTCGAGTTGTTGCTGCTCGCCAGACTGTCGCGATAGTTTTCGCCCACTTTCTCCGTCTCTCGTGGATACGGTCTGCTCGAGGCTGTTGCCAGGTTCACGGATCGAAAACCGACGCCACGCTGTAGCAGCAGACTGACTTCGGCTTGTGGCATTATTCGACAGATCTGACTTGGCACGAATCCCGCCGGTCCTGTGGCGACCAAGTGATCGAGGCACCACCGCCTGACGAACAACCAGCTCTGGCCAATCATCTTCTCACACCCTGTCTGCATCGTCCCTAAACACGTCGACTCACCCTCCAACCCCAGCCGAGTGTCTTCCCCTCCGGAGGCCGGACGACGACTGCATGGCGCCGGCGACGCCGGCTGCGGTTGACTGAGCACACAGACGTGGTCGCCACGGCGCACCCCGAGAACATGGTAACGCTCACGCCAGTCCAGAGAGGGCACAAAGTCTCTGGTAACCAGGGCAATAACAGCGCTGCTGCCGGGCACCTTGGCGCCGGCCTGGTGTGGCTGTAGTCGGGCCACACTCTCCGCCATGGTGGCTGTGGTACCGAGGTCAGTCGTCCAGACGGCGGGTGACGACTGCAGACACAAAGGCTGTCTGACCATCTCGTGGCAGAGTTTGTTGCCACGCCGACTGAATTGGTACTGACTCGACGGACCGGAGGAGACCGAATGGTCGTCAGGCTTGCGCGTCAGCCGGCAACTGTAGGGGTACTGGTCGAGAAGGTGCGGCGCCCCGGGGACGAGACGGAGGCTGGGCAGAACAGCGGGCACATGCAGCAGAAGAGGGTCCTGGGCCTGGGCCGAGTCCTGGTGTATCCAAGCCATTGGAGGAAGCTGCATGGATCGAGTCTGCCAAAATGGCCCTCCAGCCGCACTCGACAGACCAGGCCCCGACGAATCCGGCGGGCCGGCTTGGTTGCCGCTCACGGAAGCCTGACTCATTCGTTTCTTCACCTGTTTCCAGTCGTGCAGATCGTCTTTACTATCCTCGGACGAGCTGTTCGAGGAGGACAGCGCGTCCGCCTCCCCCCCAGGCAGGCCGGACTCAAGTTTCCCAGTCAGCGCCGGATACCCCGGCTCTGTTGCCGTGACGACACGTCTGCGCTGTCGGTGCTGGCGGCCTCGGGAGTAGCGTCTTATGTGGACTGGCCTTGCAAGACTGACGACAGCCTCCTGTTCCGACACCTCGAGCCCGCAGGTCGGGAGTAAGTCAGACTTGGCTTCGACACTTCGTTTCATGCCAGCCGACGAATCCATGCAACTGGCGTCCAGGCTTGAGTTGCTGCCGCTCTCCGAGCCCGCATTCTGTTCATGACGACACCTGCGAGACCGGTCAACAGCCGATCCCTCGGTTAGGTCTGCCTTTGTCGCCAGCCGGTAGGCAGATACGTTCACGTCGACGCTGCTACCTGTACAACTACTGCTGGTGCTACTCGAGCTGCTGGTGAGGCTGGCTCTGCTCAGACTCAGAGCATTTTCGCTCTCACTTCGGCTGCTGCTGCCACTACTACTACTGCTGCTGCTGGTGGTGGTGGTGGTGGTTGAGTTATCAGGACTGAGGAGACTGCTTGTCCCGACAGAAAGTGAACTCTC